TATGGCACTCACTGCTGTCTAGGTAGGCTGCTTGCCTAAGGGTAAAAGAGAAGGCAGAGTCTGATCTGGCACCTTCCAAATTAGGGGCAGGGGGTTCGGGATATCCCCCGAATATCTCAAATATCACAAGATCAAAGGCTTCTCTCACATGGAAACGGGTAGCTCAGTATGCTACCTCTGTTAAAACAATTCTAAGCCACAGGGGAAAAAAAGAACCTACACCAAAACAAAACACAGGCTTGCTTAAGGGAATATTTACAGGCAATTTACAAGCAAGGAAGGCAGCTTGAACAAGCTGCCTGACCAGCCCTGCTACCTTACCGAAACTGCTGCTGGAGTTGGTGGTGCATGATGTGTAGCAGCGTGAACAGAAGCATCCCCACTGGGGGGGCGGGGAAGAAGTGATAGCAAAGAAATGGAAGTGGACACCATCATGGTCTGAGTCTCGTGCCCTGACACTCATTGCTTCTGCACCACCTCCCATCCCATTCTCCAGAGCTGGGGCAGCAGCACCGGTATATCTCCTCCCTTTGACAGCGGGGTAGAGAGATTCAGATGTAGTTTCTTCCCCCTGTTGTTGGGCAAAGTGGCAGAGGAGCAGCACTGCCTATGTGCTGATATGCTTGTACAGCTCCAAACACCATAAAGTCCAGTTCTTAGCTGATCCCCTGGCTGTATATGCTAAAATATTTTTGTTATCAGGCTTGTCACAAACAGAGGATCATGACTTCACTGAAGATCACAGACCTATGCGAAGAGAAGACAATTTTGTCCTAAATGGAACTGCAAGGATCTGGACTAGGTAGGAAAGCAGGGCTACTGATAAAGCAGTCTTCTAACCCTCAGCTTAATGCAGCTGATCCCTTCTGTTTGAAAACAGGATGCATGTTTCAGTTATAGAGTAACACCTATGATACCCAGTTATAGAAATAGCTTCCACAGCTGCCTTGTTCAAGCATTTCACCGTCCCAAGAGAATATTTCTGCAGGATGACAGACACAGTGGGTAACGCCTTGTCTTAAACTGGGCACTTCAAATATGCTACCTTCTCTGTACAACTGCTGCCGCATGGCAGTGTCCAGGAAACAGCAAGTCAGATGCATGTTTGGAATTGTTAAAAAAGATTGCCAGTCCAGAGACAAATTTTACCAGTACTTTGTACTCAAAATACGTTGAGCGTGGTGAGCATTGTTGAATTATTTCAGCAAGTTTGGGCTCCCATCCAATGCTTTTAAAAAAACCCCATTGCTAACGTGCAACATGACGGGACAGTCTTTGGCAAGGGACATCCAGGCAGTTAATTTAACTGTCACATCGGTGTCTTGTAATGGTACAGTTTTAGAGCCTGGCTCACCGCGAGCAATTAGACACCACTCAGAAGGAAGGCCATTTCAGGACTTTGCTGAAGAACCCACTGAGCCTGGAGGACTAACAAAGTCAGCAACAGTTGAAACAAGGTTAGCAAAATGGCCCGAAGCCCTTTTTATTTTTCTTGGCGAATGCGAAGGATCTGTTAATGGAAATATCATTGCTGTAAAATGTTTTTAGACTTAAAAAGACACTTGTAAGAGACAGCTTTTTCACAAAGGAACCAGCATGGGGAGCAATAGGGTGAACTTCACCGTTTGGGAAATTAAGACATGTAGACTGAACAGTGTGGCAGCACGTCGCTCAGGAGAGATGCCAGTGCTAAAAGTGGGAAGGGCAACTTTAACATAGGCCTGTGAATGGGTGTAGCAGTTTGTTTATTGGAGCAAATACCCTTTCCTTCCATCAATATTCAGTGACTAAGCATGGACTTGTACCTCAGCTTTCTCTGTATTTACTGTGACCTGGGCTACCTGACACCTTTTGAAAGAGCGTTTTGCCGTTCGTTGCCTTTATCAATTCATGAGGTTAGGGAACAGAGTGAAATTATCAGATAACCGATGTCAAGAACAAGGAAATACTTTTCTCCCTCATAAAATCAAGGTGTAGAACTTCTTGCTGCAGCAAGCTGTGGAAGCTGCAAGTACATAGCTGATTAATAAAAAGAATGATACAAAATTAATGGAAACTAGATCCACCAGCAGCTATCGCAGATAGATAGCCTGCAGCTCTGGAGGTTGTCTAAAAAAACCCACCAAAAACCCAAAAAAACCCCCACCAAAAAACCACCAAACAGTAACTGTGAGAAGGTAAGCATGCATAAACCATGGAAGGATCACTGTCGATATGCCCTCTTTCTCCAAGCATCTCCTGTTAGCCACTGGCTGATACCATGCAGTGCCCGGTGCACTGTGCATCGTCCAGGAGACGCATGAAGTGAGCAGAGCTTTGCAGGGGAAGGAATACCCAGTTACATGATGGAGAACTGCATTACACACCGACTCACAAGCAGCAACAGTCACTGCTATGACACTTATTAATATTTGAGTGCTTAACCATGTCAACTTAAATGCATTTTTGTTTTTTATGATATATATTTAAAATAGAGTAAAGAAGGGGTCTGTGCAAATGCAGACTTATTTCTGAACTACACAGTTAATAGAGATTACAGTCCAAATTTTGCTAGACTTCATGATATTCCTTCTTCCCACTCATACTTTCCTTCCAATTCTGCCTTGAAATTCAGACTGTCAATCAATTGCAGACATTTCTTATAGTCTGGATTACTTCCTGGCTTCCTGCCTTCAAACATTTACATTCCATGAGCACCAATAACTGTCCGCACAGTACATAAAAGTTTATATGTTTGAAGCGCATCATTAGTGATACTGTTTCTCCAACACCTCAGAAATCACTTTTACATCTTTTAGCCTCTGTACGTATAATAGGATTTGCTTCCTAAGTCTTTTTACTTTTCACTTTTGTATGCAAAATACTTCAGAATAACCCAACTAATAAAAAGTCCAATGATGTTAAAGGAAAACTTCGTTCTCTGCCCATCTCACCTTTTTTTTTTTTTTTCTTTCCTCCTTTTGGTTGCTGTTTGCTCTACTTCAGGACGAGAAGTCCAGCTGCTCTAAATCTAAACACTGCTCAGGACATATGGCAAACAGCAAATTGAGTTCCAGTGAACGCTGGTGAGCCATATCCTTCCTAGGTATTCACACAGGCATTCAGCCAAGCACTTTGATACTTTGCTATGATACAAGAGCACCGTCATTTCACAATGAAATCTTCGGGCTAGACTACAAAATCAAGCAAAAAACACTCAAAACAACCATAGAGGTTACTGCAGGTTGAAGAATACAATGATTTTAGTCTGGTGAGCAGTATCAGCTCAACAGATCTGAAGAAGGTCTCTAGAGACCTGCATAGCACAAAGCATCAGCAATACAATCATCTCCCATACTGGGTTGGTTTTTTTTTTTCCTCCCCTCAAATGCCTGATCCTGGTCTGGGATTGTAGCGTTGCTTCACACTTTTGAAATCCAGCTGTCAGAAGATTAGCAGCAGTGCCATTCAACTCCAAGCATACAGAGGGGTTTCTGGTACGCACAGAGCTGAGCTGCAGCACACACTGTTACTAATCTCAGAAAGGTCAAACACTTTTCTGATTAAAGGTTTTGGTTATTTACCAACCTAAGTAGACAAAAAAAAATAAAATAAAAGGCAATTGTGAGCTGTCATCTAAGCTCTTAGATTGTTTGGATGTTCTCAAGAGAATTCTCTCATGAAAAGTCCAGAAGGTCTGAGGGAAGTTGAAGGGAGTTATAATTTAATACCATCAGCCTGTCTAGAAGACATTAGGATTGTGCCTTTGCTCGAAAGAGGCATTTTAGAACATCAAACCACAAAGTAAAGGTCATGCAGCAGTACAGAATGAGGCCTTCTGGTGCACAGCATCAACATCAGGGGGTACCTAGGTCCTCCCCATGCATTTCAGCTGACCTACAAAGCTGCCAAGTCAGCTCTGTGGAAAGCAAGCAGGGGGATAGCAAAACAGCATGCACCAACTGAGCGAGGCCACCAGATTCAGCCTCCAAGCACCAAGCAGGCTCTGGCTCAAGCAGTGGAGGAGAAGCATGCTCCTGCCCACTCATTCCCATGCAAGTCAGAGCAAGTTTCCCAGAAAGGGACCAAACCATTTTTTTTTTAAACTAAATGCTTTTAATAGAAAACAAAATACAAAATAACTCTTTCCAGAAAGCAGAAATATTTAATCTCTCCAAATGACAAACTAGAACGTGCTTCTTCCGCAGATCCTTGTCGTAAATGCTGATGATTTATCTCTCAAAGTGTTCATGAAACTGATATTGCAACATTTTGAGAAGAATCCAACACTGGCAGAGCTGCCTCTGTGTACGCACAATAATTTAGTAATACTATTTTTTCCCATGTCACTTTGTGTCTCTCTCTCCCCCCGTCCCCCTCTCCCTAGACTGCCAACTTCCATTTACGGAAATACGTCTGTGAGGTGCAGTGGTGGATTGACATGCCCTGTTTCCATGAGGAGTCCAAACTTAGCTGCTTCAGTTCTATTGTGCCCTCCCTCCAGACAAGGCAAGTCATTTATTACCCTTAAAGCCACCGCCCTACCCCCACTGTCCTCCCATCCTCAAAACACAGTGCAACCAGATTCAGAAAGATTCCTAATTAATGGAACATAAATACAAATATCACAGCTAGTACCAGGAACCAAACCCAAATGACAATGCAGAGATGGGCCCCAACTGAGGTCAGATTTCCATCCCCTTACTAAAAAGAAAGATGGTATTTTCTACTTAGCTTGTCCAAAATATTCCAGAAGTGCTATAGGGAGCTGTAATATTTAGGACCACTATCACTGTAGAAAATACATAATGTTCTTTTAATAGAAGGGTCTTAAAATGCTGGTCCTCTGCAATACCAGGAAAACAAAAGCAAAACAAAACAAAAAACACTGGGCCAGTAGTTCTCCACACACTCAAGCCTCAGTTAACAGTAGGTAAGATGTGCCCATCAATCAATGCAGGACATTTAAGTGCAGGTCAGCAGCTTATCTGGTTGGCAGTTTCACTTGTCTGGACCAGGCTTTCGGCTTCCCCAAGCTACTGAATTTCCTCCCCTTTTCCCCATCCCTACTAGTAGAAGATTAGAATGTATAGGTATTTTCATCACTCCTCCTTCTTTCCTTATTCCATTCAACAGCACAGGCCTTTCTGTGGGCAAGACATTTTAAAGCATTTGCATCACTCTGGACATGCCTTTCAAGGGGGCAGAGGAAGAAAAGTGTTTCACAGTCAGTAATCTCAGCTTGCAATGGACTCTGGCATTCAATACACCCACCCACTTCCCTAAGAAAAAAAAAAAATTAATGTTCCTGATTTTCTTGTGCAATTCCAGTCACTAGAAGAAGATTACAGGCCATAAACTGTACGCTCAGTACATTATTCATTTGTCCGGTATATACACCAACCAGTTCACTGGAAGACCCATCAGCAGGGGCGTTGCAGTAAGTGTTCCGAATGTCCCAGACCCGGACTGAATTGTCCATTGATGCTGAAGCAATTAAACTACTGTCGGGGCTAAAAGTAAGGCTGGTTATGTTGTCCGTGTGCCCCCTCAGTTCTTTGTAAAGAGTTCCTGACGCCAAGTCCCACAGCTTTAGCCGCTGGTCTTCACCTGCTGATGCCAGGTACTTACCGTTGGGAGAAAACGCAAGCGCTAGCACGGGGCCACGGTGCCCGGTGAAAAGGCGCACTGAGTTGCCTTGCTGAGTGCTCCACAAGCGCACAGTTTTGTCCGTGGAGCCCGTCGCCAAGTAGTTGGAATTGGGGTGGAACTTGACACAGTCTACGTCCGCCAAATGGCCTGCGTATATTCGCAGCGGGTACGTCCGATCAAATGACCAGAGCCTTGCAGTGCGATCGTGGGAACCACTGGCAAAGTACAGGCTGCAGGGACTAATATCCAAATCCCAGACAGGATAGGCATGTCCTTGGTACAACACAGTGTTTGTAAAACTTCCGAGGTCCCAGTATCTGATGGACATGTCCTCAGAACAAGATAAGAGTCCCGAACTGTCTGAAAGGAACCTCGTGCTATACACAGGCCCACAGTGTCCTCTCAGGATCTTCATTTCCGTGCCTGCGCTGTCGTCCTCTTCCTCCTGGTCGGGGAGGAGAAAAAGAAACAAGAAAGGAAAGCATGTTTATCTGTTCAACAAATACAGGAACCACCATGAGGAAAACAGTCGGGTGTTAATACAGAGAAAGTTATTTTAGATGTGGCATGTTTTGTGCAACTCTGAGATACAAATGTTACTAGTGCATTTGCTACATGCTGAAAGTGATGGTGAGAGAAAGGCGTTATCTTCATTTTGGGTAGCCTCATGCTCACTCCAGAAGGCACCTTAACCTGGGACCGTACGCAAATAGGGAAAAAAAAAAGAGACGTATTTTATGAATTTTTTCCACTTGTTAAAAACATATGCTTATTCCCTATCCGCTCTCTACTAAACTTTTGGCTAGGATGTTGAAACAGATCTTGGCATCTGCTCTTTTGGTGTGGTCATGATTGGAAGTGAATCTCACGGTAGAGAAAAAGAAACACAGATGTCTTAAACAAAACGCAGGAGGTGGAAAGACAAAGCATATTTGACAAGCTGTCTGCTGGACATTCCTTCTTAGCCCCACATGTGAACAGAAACCCAGTACGGCCATAATATCTGTTTCTCCATGCAAGCTCTATCAGGATGCCTTCACATCCTCACCCTTCAAGAATAGCAAAAGTATGCAGCTTATTTAGGTCAAAGGATCTATTTTGGGGTAAGAGAAGATGAATAATCACAAAAAAGATGGCACTGGAAACCTTATTATCCTGTAATTCTCCAATTCGAGTACCAGGGCAGACAGTCAACAAGTAAAGGCTTTCACGTTAAAAGACTGTTTAGTGAGCTGTGCTATAATGAAAAGTAAGCATTTTCAAAATTCTACTCAAGTAGCACCTCTCAACACTCAAAGGCCACAGACTGCACGAGCTTCAACAAACTCAAGAGAGCATCCTTGCCGGACAAGCTGGTGTCTTGCTGATGGAGTGCAAGATAACCATGGCTTGGGGTGCACCTGTAGAGCAGCTCAAGACCGCCCTTCCTCAGGGCAGGCTCTGCACATCAAATTCAATCCCCTTTTGTCTGTGAGCAGCCCCTTTAACTTTTATCATTGCAAACTGGCCCATTTCCTGATGAAGGAGTGCTTCCTGCCCTGAGAGGAAACCCAATTCCCCAGGGCTGCTGGACTGCTGACAACCAGCAGAAGTTAGTGTGTCCTGAACAGCTCTCTTGGCTGACACAACATCTCCCATCCCTCCACCCTCAGGACCCACAGACAGTTTTGCTTCAGACTTGAAGGCCTGAAAGCCCTCTCCTCCAGCGGTTTCAAATCTCATGTCAGAGGTGAGCAAGCTCTGACTTAGCTAGCTCGCTGCCTTTCTCCATCTCGACTGCTAAATGTGTTTAGTGGTAGGCAGCGAGCTGTGTTTAGCAATGCTAATTCTCTTCAGTGTAGTCAGTGCCCATGGGAGTTTTATGATGCGGCTGGGAGCCAACTTCATCTCTACTACGGAGGTGAGGCAGAGAGAAGTTGCAGGCTCTAGCACGCAAAGCCCCATTCTCATTCAAATTGCTTTTTCTACCTCAGATAGAGCATTGCTTGCTGGAATCCACAGCATCTCTAGGCTATGTTACCACATTAAAGGAGAGAGGCTGATACCTGCAGCATTTTATACTATTTAATTATGACCATAAGACTCCTGCCAAGTTACCAGTAGAAGCCCATTGAAGTTACCTATATTGCACTATAGTTTCTGTAAATTCTGCAAGTCCAGGTACTTAATTTTATGCCTTCAAATTCATACTGGGCTACTTGGGCTGTCTGCAAGCACTTACTCTTTCTCTATTACAAGCACCCACTCTTCTTTCCTTGTATTACAGTAGCAGCTTATTTGACAATTCTGCCTTCTGCAGCATCCAAAACCACGCTCCTGTATGGTCACAGGTAACAAATCTTATCTTTGACTTCTGTTTGACACCCACTTAGCATAACAACTGCACACTGCTGTTACAGCTCACTGAAAGTGGTATACCTATAATGCTTCTGAGTCACTGAATTTTCCGTTTCCTCCCTATCCAAGTTAGTCTGCTGACCAGATTAACAAAGCAGCTGGAAGTGCAGCCACTAAATTACTGCCTTGCAGAACCAAGCACCATTTCTTGGTCAGATCAAGCACACTCTTCCTTACATCCCACAGCTACTACCACGTAGGTGAGCATTTCCAGCAGCTATGGAAAGGTTGCAACCAGTGTTAAAATCCACAGAGAGGCAGGGAATCCCTCTTTGTAGTATTTCTTCAGGATTCCAGTTTCACACACTGAGTATGTTTCCTGGATATAACATACCACTGGGCATCAAAACAGGTTTTAAGTATTAGGATAGAACTGAAAAACCTACCAACACTACTAAAATTAGCTAAAAAAAAAATAATTTACTCTTCAACAGTGAACACAAAATCTTCCTGAGCAAGTACAAGACTCCCAAAAATTATATCATGAAGAAAATGAAAAGAACAAAAATGTTGGTGTGTTTGTTACACAAAACACCTTCCAAATGATACACCTATGGGCACAGACTGCCCACCTCCTCAGCTATTACTTAAATCAGTAATGGGTTTTGCATGACAGTCCTCTGGACCCAGAAAAATTTACTGCTGATGCATTTAACCTTGTGAGCAGCAAACGTTACCTAGCTGACAAAAATGATCTTGATTTTCCACCCAGCATGAGCCTCAAAAAGCAACAGTGATAACCTCAAAAAAACCAAGACCAAAAAAAATCTGCCGCCTCCCCCCCCCTCTTCTTTTCTGTTTTTTAACTAGTAACAGGTTTCCCTGAGTGTCATCACCTCTCTCATCCTGCAGTGCTCTTAAGATGTCAAAAGGGAAGATCTCTTGCCTGCCTACGGTAGGGATCTCCTAGCAGGGAAAGATGAGGGAGTAGATACCATGGCTTTCTTTGCAGGACATTTCTTACTGCTCCTTCCAGAATTCCCTCCCATCTGCCATCCACCAAGGTATCAGCATCATCTCTGCTCACTACCATTTGAAGGACCACTGCCACTTCAAGTGGCATTTAAGATTCTGAGCAGAATCTTAGAAGCAGAGCTGAATGTGATCAAGTCTTAGTCTTCACAGAATTTAAAGGCTGCCACTCTTGCAGCTCAGAACAGAGAGTATTTTCTGTTGTTGATTTATGTAGTACCAGTGATGAGCATGGCAAAATTGCACAGAGACAAACAATACATCCATTTGCACAGCTGCAGAACTGCATTTTTACACTGGACCTTAAGTAAGAGAGACTATAAAGTGGCATTTGTGAGATGCTACTATAAAGAAAACAGAATTACTTTATCCCAAAATAATAAGCCTCTCCTATTTCCAAGAAGCAAAACAACACTGGTGATGGGTACTGGGATATCACACTGAGCAAAGTTGACTAAAACTACATCTAGTAGTGTAGTTGACGTTACTGACACAAAGGTTTTACGTAGATTAGGAAAAAAATATTGTTCTCTAAAACTTTTGCTAAGTCTCAACCTCTTTTTATACATATATATATACACACACAAAAAGAGTTAATAAATCCAATAGCGTAGTTTCAGTGCCACCCTGAACAAGATCCACTGAAACCAGCAGTTTTAAACTTCTATATCTTCATAAACAGAAGGACCTATTTGCTTGCAGCAAATCAGAAACCAAGCTGAAGATTAATTATTTCAGGCACTACTACTTAGATACAATATGCAAAGCTAACTACACAATACAGAAATCAACCAAAACAAAATTCAGAAACCTTAGAAGACCCAGCCAAGTTTAACATCCTCACAAGTTATTCTATAGAACTCAGTGAAGTAATGTCAAAGCACATTCAGAATTTTTGTTCTTTGTCAAAGTTTTCATCAGATTTATTGCTGTGAATTGTTGCAGTGACACTCTGAAACACAGCCCCTGTTCATGCTGAGCTGCATTACTGATGACTGCAGCCCAGTTGGGGTGATCTGGTTTGATCTGTCTTCGTATCTGTGGCTTCTACTCCCATGGCACCCAAGCGGGTGCCAGTCTGTTCTCACCTGCGACCTTGTGGGTGCCTGTGTATTTTCACTTAGGGCTCCCAGATACTGGAATTTATTCCCTTTGTAGTCAGTAGGCTTTCACTTACATTTCAAACACGTAACCAGCAGTGCATTCATGCTGGTATATCCCCCGTTAACTTTGAACTCCTGGTCAGGTCACTATTTGTTTTGTCAGTGGTAAAGTTATTCAGGGCAATGATGACTTTGATCTGTGCTGGTCTTTGACCAGTTTTTGGTTTTAGACCTGTGCATAAATACTGCAGGATACACAAAATATTAAATAGCCAATGAGAGCCATTTGTATGCAAGGTGCCGCAGCCATTTCATAATACACATACGACACGCAAGTATGCACCTATGTGCCAATAAAAGCTAACACGCACTCCTGATAACCTCGCACTATCTTACTCTTCTGTAGTCTAGAGCCAAAGGAGGTGACTTGCTGATTTCTCCTCTGTCACAGGTTATTGACATTTGGTTTCGCTGACAGGCAATACACACAGTCATGTGTCCTATGAACTCTTACAGCTTACAATGAAAACAAGTCCATAGCTCCATCTTGGGCCAGTCTGACCCATTTACCTGCTCACTCTGCAGAAAGGGTTAACCTGGGAAGCGGTGAGCAGGAAGGCAGCTGTGCTATCTCACCTGGATGCCTGCCTCCAGTTCTCAAGCTGACTAACAAAGCAATTCCTAACCATAGATCCCTTCGTACAACAAGGTCTCTGCACTCTTCCAAAATAAACAGAACCCTGCCACTAGGTATTTTTTACGAGAGGAAGAACGAACAGTGGAAAAAAGGTTGTTTCTCCTGCTAAACACTCAACACAAGAACAAATGAGGCTTTTTCTTTTTTTTTTTTTTTCCTTCAAGAGGGTAGTGATTAAACAAAGGAAGAGTCACAAATTCTGATCTCTAACCAGATAGAAGATGCTACGTGGGCAGCTGTGGTAAGAGAGGAGGAAGGGCGTGACTAGAAGGCAAAAAAGTAGAGTAAACTAGAAGATGCTATCTAGCCTGGCATGTGAAGGCACACACATCCCTGTCCCTGTCTCCAGCACTCCAGAGTGGGAAGCCTCTGAAGTTTCTACACTGCAGATTCCTTAACAGGGACATTTTGCATAATTTTTCCATGCTAACTCTTCACCTCTGGTTAAGGTGATTCCTTAAATACAGTTTTGCACTTAGGCAACCCTCCTCCTTCCTGAGGCATCAGACCAGGCTCCTTTGGCTCTTTCCTTACTTTGTCTTTATTTTCCTCTTCCTGCATCTCTCCCCTTCTGACCGGTTGTTCTGAGCTGCTTTCCTTCTAGTTTTCACTCACCACAGCGTGTTTTTACTGCCTGCACCTCCTTGTTTCCTCTTGCCATCCATCAGAAGGCTCCATGCTGCTCAGGGAAGGTAGCTTTCCCTAGTCACCTGTCTTACCTGGCTGCCTGTGTACTGTCATCTGTTCAAGGACAGCCGGAGGACGCAGATCAGCAGCTAGGACTAACAAACTATGATCCGAGCACAAACCCATTGCACCTCAGTGCAGCATTTACAACCACTGCAGAAAAGAACAAGGACAAGAGTAGGCTATAAAATTTGTGCGTCAAGGCAGACAGGTTGTGGAACACAGTCCCCTAAGACATTACTAGATACTCCACAATGCATACCCAAAATACCTCAGCAGAAAGGGTAGGGGAGGAAAAAAGGGGGATCCAGACCTCCTCATCCAGGATGTCACAAGCCAGGCGGATGCGGGACACATCAACAAGGTGGGGCTCAGATTTTAACTTCCTGGAACGCAGGCTCCACAGCTTCACACATGAATTATCGAACCCAGCAGCGAGCAGCTTGCTGTTTGGTGAAATCTCTGCAGTGTTCAGCAACTGCTCCGTGTTATAGAAGGCATAGAAACAGATGGTCGTTAAGGAAGGGGGCCCGTCCTTGACACGTTTAATGCTGTCCTGCAGTAAATCCAGCGCCGCCTCGTTCTGCAGAATGGAAGCCGGCACGTCGCTGGGTTCCAGGCCATTGCTCTCGTTGCGCGAGGAGCTCCCACCGGCGTAGAGCTGGTAGTCAGTCCTCTTGGCGGGCTGCACATCCAGGTGAATGTGCAAGGTCAGGACTTTGCACAGGGCGTTGTTGTTGTCACTTTGGAGGTAGCGAAGAAGGTAGTTGTAGCTGTCCTCTTGAAGGCGGATGACGTACTTGTTGTCCAGAAAAGCCCGGAGCTTCAAGTTGGACAGGATATCTTGAATAGTCATGGTAGTCTGCAACTGCTCAATGATATCCTTCTGGCTGGCATTCTGCAAGAACATGCCATGGAAGCGGCTGTAAAAACTGTCCACTGTGCTTTTTAGGCCATTCTGGACCATGTTCAGATGGAGGTAGACGAAGAGGGGATACAGAAGAGGCATCACTTCATGGCTGTGCTGAGAATCTGAATCTACATAAAAAATAGGAACAAACTTTGAATGATTTTTCAATCCACTTTCTCCTGGGAATAAAACAGAGCAAGGACAATTACTGCAAAAAGCCTTGACAGTGGGATCGGAGAGCAAGCAAGAGACTGTTGCTGGTGCATGTAAGCAAACCTCCTCTGTCACCTAAAGGGGATACGCAGTACCTATTACAGATCCAAGGAGAGATTTTTCAAGTCAGTGAGGTATGTTGCAAGAACCAAATGCGGAGATTTCAAAACCTTTTTAGATGTGGGCCAGCTATTAAAATACCACCTCAAACTACATGACAGCTGAATTTCTCCCCAGTATTTATAAAGCAAAACTGTGTCCTCTGTTTATTGCATTAAATGGACTTTAAAATTTACTCATTATATTTAAAACAGTATTTAATGTGTTTTAAGTCAAAATTATTTATCTAACTTGTGCAGGCCTAAACTGTAGTGGCTTTTTTTCCTCTCGGCTTCAATAAAACTTGCATGTGGTGCTTCAGATGGAACTGATTTGTCTCCAGGGGAAAGGAAGCTACAGTTCCCAAAATGTACTGCAATATGCTGTGCTCTTGTTTTATTTCTGTGCCTGTTCATGTGCACGCTTTCTCTCTCTCTCTCTCTCTCTCTCTTTCCCCCCCGCCGCCCCTTCTCTCTGCTAAGGCAAATCCCAACAGCAATTCCTAGCACACAGTGTAACACACTCGCGGTTAGGCTGTGCAGTACCTTGCAGAGACTAATCTGTGCAACAGCTCCACCCCTCCTTCACCAGCTTCTTGGGGCTGTTTCCCTCCCACATTCAGCCGGCTGCAGGGAGCTGTAAGGAGCGGAGCCCTGCTGTAGAACACCATGGCGGTGTACAGGGCCGTAACAGTGAGTTAGTGGCGCCCAAATGGTCCAAATTACTGGAACAAAATAGGCATTGCAGATCCTCAAACAGCATTGCTTCTTTTCAACTTGTTCTTCCCTCTGCCACTCACCAACGCATACCCTTCTTTTCCCTTTCCATTAGATTACTTTTCTTCTCCTGTTGAGCACCCGTCCAAGACTTTCTCCAGTCTATACTGTGCCATACTCTCTCCCATTTCAATATCAGTAACTACACAGTGTGTGTGTGATATGCAGCATATACACACGTATTTGCATACTTAGCCATCATTCTCCTTTCTGTCCCACTGAAACTGGGCCAAAGCCAGTGAAACCAGTGGTCTGTATGTAGTAAAAGCACTAAGCAGCTAGCAGCTGCTCTTTCCTCTGCAAGTGCTCTAGTTCAGAAATGCAACAAGGGGCAAGACCTCACACTGCAGTGAGGGGAAAAAGGGAAGATATGGGAAGTTGGCAGAGACAGGAACGAAGAAAATTTTCCCCATGAACATATGAAGGGAGGCTATGGGGGTGGTGTCTGCCTACCCTGGAGAAGATTAAGGGGCTATCAACTGCTGCCTTCAGTACCCATAGGACATTATGGAGGAAAAGAAGCCAGCTTCTTCTCAGAGGTGCTCAGTGAAAAGACAACAGGCAAGTTGCTGTAAGTGAAATTCTTGCCAAATCGCTCAGCCCTACAGCTGGGACACAGAGGTGCAGGTAGTGCCATCTCCACACTTTTTGATTTACAAAACCTGGCTGGACAAGGACCTCAACAACCTGATCAAACTCTGACCTTGCCCTGCTTTGAGCAGTAGGTTGAACTAGAGAACTTGAGAGTAATTCCTACATTATTCAGTGGTCCTAGTCCCCTGCCCACTCCTCAATGCCCCTGGAGGCAGGCATCGTGCCTGCCTGACAAGTTACATGCATGAACTGCTTCTGTTTCTGCAAGGGACTAAGAAATCAAAACCGAGCAAGAGAGACAAAAAAGATGCAGAGTTGACATGAACACCAAAACCATGCCTAGCACTTGCCTAAGTGGTATTTAAGCCACTGAACAGCACAGTCATACTTCTCAAAAATCTACTAAACCATGTGAATTTACCCTCAATACTAAAGTGCAATGGTATTGAACTGCTCTAGGTGGCAAGCCTAAGACTAAGGCACTATTTTCTGCCTCTGCCTTCCTCCCTCCCTTTCCCTTCAACAACTATCAGGAATATTAATCCTAGTGTTATGCACACTGGGATCAAATCCCTATGCTGGACAAATGTAGATGTACCCAAGGGCGGGAGGAGCAACAACCTCATTTTCCTTGGCGTTATTATTGAAAAATCCTATCTGCTTTCCTCTTACCACATTTGGGACTCATAGAAGAAATGAGGACATTCCCAGGAACCCCTTTTTGATTTTTTTAAAAAATAAATAAATAATCACGATTGTCTTCTGCATCACACTACGGTATGAGCATTTTTTTCCCTTCTGTCATATGCCTCCAGTCTCAAAGACGGTACAGGTAAATTTAAGGGAACAAATTCTCCCTTAGAAATCTAGGCCATCATAAAAAGAAGCCAATTATGAATCAAATTAAAACCCCTAACCTAGGAGATGGCAAAGAACTACATTCATTTCTAAGTTACCCGTCTTTCACATAAGACACTAATCTTCCTTCTTGTCCTGTATATGTATGATGTTGTCTAGAAGATTTACACATGTACAAAGGCCAAATGCTTGAACAAGAGAGGGCTAACAGACAGCTATCTACAAAAGCCAAAGGTAACTCACCACCCAGGCAACAAAAAAAAAAGAAAGAAAAAGAAAAACTAAATATTTCTAATTGCAGCAACTGAAATCTCAAAACTCGAAATCAAACACTTGTTAGAGACATGATTTTTAATTTTATTATACTGTCTTCTACTAATTGAAATGACAAAAAAATCAGCTACTTTCCTCTTCCTTGCTTCCTGATATTTACCTGTGAGAAAATTGCGTAATCGTCCAAATTGTACTTCATATTGCTGTGGCTCCGCCAGGCAGGGAGCTGCAGACACAACATTGGCACAACCAGATTCAGATTGGACTGTGAAATAAGATAAGTAAAATTAGGTAAGGATTTAAGGAATTTTGCATGTATGTCTGGAAACGGAGCTTCTCATTAAACCCAAGGTAATGCAGCCACCAAGGTGACATTTTCGTCTTTCAAACCATTCAGGGATGACGTAGTCCGAAGCATCTAGACGTGGCATTAACAACCTAAACAGATCATGAATAAGAAAGTATACTGAAAGCTTAACAAAACCCCTAAAAAGCTCAGTAACTCACCTGCTCTCCCCAGAACACATTTTAAAGTTTTTAAATATAACCTTAAGTTCCTGAGAAACTCAAGTGTAACACCATCACGGATCCTTCACAGTTTTACAAGATAGTCAGCAGTTTTACTACTTTGCACTCAAGAAAAGATGACAAAACGAATCTACAACTTTCTCCAAAACCAAGTTTCTTTTTCAGTGGGACCCACCACCCGTCATGGACAGAAGGTCTGCAGTGATACTACCTCAGAGTCTCAAATTCCCTGCCCCAGTCATTATCATTTACTACAAATTATAATCGTTATAATTTACTAGTCTCCCTGAGGTGGTGGTGAAAACACACTGAATCTCTAAGCAAACAAACACTAGTTTTTAATCAAAATGTGTCCTGCTCCCTGCGGATTTTAGGTTAAAGGGCAGCTGGTATCTGACCACAAACCCAGCTGTTAAGAGTCTCCTGAGATGGTATTAAACTTATTTTCAGAACCAGTACCAGTAACTCTGGTAAAAGTGGTTCTGAACTATTTAGAAAGGGAACAGGCTTTTCTTTCTCTGGCACCAAACATTTGGTCTTTTGCTAACCACTCAAAATTTGACAGAGGACTTTGTGCAAGTTTACAAACCAACATACCCTAAACATATACAAATATCAGTGATTACAAACTCAAGTTACACAATTTACCTGTCTAAATTTTAACTAATATGTTAATTCATCTGCTCATCTAAGAAAAGCACAACAGGGCAAGGAGTTATGCTCTGTTTTCCCTTCCTATTCTTTTTTCAATTCATAACTATCTTCCCCTCCACAAAACATTTTTTTATTACTCTCACTTTCAACTCCTTTGACTTCTTTCAGTCTCCCCCGCCCCGCACTGCTTTCCATCCTCTCTTTTTGCCTTCCTAGTCCTGACTGATCACTGTTTGTTCCAACATTTGGCTCAGGCACAGAGGCGCAACTCGGCCCTGGAAGTCTATGAACAACATCATCAAATTTTCACATGCTAAGGAGAGATAGGCCAGCCTCCAGCTCATCTCAATGCTTCTAATTAGAAAGAGATCAGCACATGGTGTGCAGGCAGCCTGTCACTACTCTCCCCTCTCTCTCGTAAGACACAGGTCTATCTTCACGGAGTTTATGGCAATATGGGAGGTATGTTTACCAACCCTCCAGGGCAAGCGGAATTCAGCTTCAGAATCAGAGAGCTGGGCTGTGCTTATCATCCCCTCATGGGATAAAAAAACCAAACACAGATTCCAGCACCAATACCCTATCTTCATCAAATCAGTTTTGAAATAAACAAATATAACCCGTTGAAAGGTACAGATACACTGCGTTTTCTACAGCTTGCTTGCTTCAGAAACTCAAAGCTGGTCAGAACTCCAAGGCTCACATGCTGGTATTACTTAATGGCTAGAGTAAACAACTCTGCTATTCAGACTCAAAATTTAATACAATCAATATTCAGCATAAGAAAGTAAACTGCATGCACGCACATGTAACTCAAAATTCTTAGTGACAGTTTTCACTGTCACACATACTATTAATTGCAAAAGCAAAGAAAAACAAATATGAAGGCCTGTCTTTTATGCTGTGTCACAGGGCTATGTACAAGGGTCAAGTCTTCACACAGTTCTGGTGGCCTTGTTTCAGTAGGAATGGGAATAACTTGCCACCTTGCTTGTACCATGCAAGCACAACTTAATGCCCTTGGCTTTATGAAGTGCTCCCTCCATGCCACCTATTTAACTTTCTCTGTATAAACAACTTAATTCCAAAATGAGGATGTACTTCATGCTTCAGAAAGAGGGAACATCATCTTTGGCTACCTACCCTGGAGCAGTCTGAGTGGGCAATCATTATGCCTCACTGTTTCAGTAATGATGCTAGAGCTTGTTCCCTTCAAAAAAAATGGTAAATGAACCCTATATACCAGACAGTTATAACAAGCTCAAATTCTAATTCTTCCCCTTCCTAAAACTTTACACCAACCAGAACTACAAAAGGGGTCAAGAGCTCAACTGACTCAAAACAAGAGAGTCAATTTTCACACATATTTTTCTCCTGGTGGAAAAGAAACACATGCTATATCCTTCTAATACATCAATAAATCTACCATAGTTTCTTTTCCACCTTACCCAGTGGTTTTAAGAACATCTACTGGAAACATCTGCTCCTCGACTTCACTTCCAGTAATTGCAGCCAGCTATGCGACCTGATAGCAAATTCAAAGGAACTCACCCCTCACTCAGGGATATGGACAGCGGCCTCCTGGTCTTGCATGTTGGCTACGAGCAGCATTGCTTCCAGCTAACAAATGCTACTGTAAACACTGTTTCACAGCAATTGATTCCTCTTTTACATGAGTGTGATGATGTATAATTTCACATTATTTCAGATAGTCCTATGTGTTGACAGTATACTTACGGGCAACATTAGAGGAACCCATTCCTTAAATCACTCATTCTGTTCACAAATATTCTCCTAGTTTTCTAGAGAAATACAAGATAGTCACAAGGAAGCTCTGTCCTGCATTTTACTGCAGATGCAATCAGACAGCGCACTAGATAATCTCATCTGGGCTCCCTTTCCTACAAGAGGTTGGACCAGATGATCTTCTGAGGTGCCTTCGAACTTGGAATGTTCTACGATTCCGTGAAAACAGAGCCTTACAGATATAGCAAGTACATGAAGCAATGGAGAAGGGCTCAACTGAAAATACTCTGGAAGATGACAAAAAGAGACGCTGAGATAAAACTGAGAACCAAAACTATTTAAAACAAAAAAACAGAGGACACTCTTCACTGTGAAAGAAGTAGTCACAGAATCGAAGACAGAAGTAAGCAACTCTCCCATTTATACAGACTGGTTAAATGTCAAACAAAAGAAAAGAGCTGAATAGAAAAAGCAAGGTGAGTTTTTTTAAGGAATGAGCAAAGACATCTCAAGACAAAAATATTTGATCGCTTTCTCCAAACATAAAGCAATGCAGGCTTTAGCATCTGGTCAGTTTTTATTCAGTTTGCCAAACTATGACAACTGCCGCCAAAAGTATTTTCAGCCTCTGTTGTCACAATAAGTGCAAGCTGGGTTTTTCTTTTTCAGCAGTCATTCACAGAACTGCAGCATACTCACTGAGCACTTACTACGAGCATGTTTGACAAGAAGAAGTAGTAAGCAGCTGAATGCATGAGAGCAGACCATTTTCAGTTCTAATGAAAACGGATGACTAAGTTCTGAATCACCAGCCACAAAACCCTTGCACGGGCAAGAAGATACAGACTTACAAGAAATTTAGTAATAACATTTGGTGGAAGATTAGTAAAAAGACAAAACCCAATCACACACTCATTCACACTCTTTACCGAAACGTTTTTTTTTTTCCTGTGCGATACCACATACAAATGGAAGGGCTTGCAATCCAATTAGTCTCTCCTACTTCAGATACTCTGGTATGGATTGGTCCCTGCTTCTAATTCCATTTCAACACTGACCTTTCTACCCACCTCTCCTGTAAAATCTCCCATCAAAAACAACTCAGCATTTTACTTTGGTTTCATTCCTTCCCCATCTCCCCCAGTATTATTTCAGGGAGTTGCAACAAACTTCCGATAGTTACTCTGAAAACAACAAGGAAATGAAAACTACTAAGAAGATGTAAGTTACTTCTAGTAACGAAATATTACCCAATTTCCTTCAGGCCCCTGAGAGAGTCAGCCTGGACATTCACCCACAAGTCACTCATCTTTGGATTGTAACTATGGCAAAAACTCTAGACATGGGAAGAGCTATTTTGGCATCCAATCTTATCTAGCTACAAAGCAGGGTTATACAGCAACCAATGTTCTGTCAAATCAAGTTGTATCACAAGTAACTAAGGTCTCCACCACTCCTAGCCTGGGACACTGTCACAATCTAAGCAGTTTCATTAACAGAGAACACTTCCTCCTTGCATTTTCACCCAAAGGTCAGCCCAGTATTTTCTATTACTTTTACAAGTAAATTTCATCTCTTTATAACCTCCACATTGCTTGCAATCCTTTCAACATGTGTACATGCTCAAGCAGTAGCATAGTTTGTTGTAACAAAAATAATAATTACAATGAAGACTGTCACAAACAGGATTCGAAAAGCATGTAGTGTAACAGGAATAAGTAGCCTTTAAGGAAGAGGAGAAAGGGGAATGCAGGGAAATAAACTGTATCATCCACTGAAGGTTTGGGGTTTTTTCTGGTGTGTGGTTTGTTGTTTTTTTTTTTTTTCCCCTCCCCCCAAGTCACAGAGCTGAGCTTTCACAACTAGAAAGCTAACTAGGCCAGAGAAAGAAACAGCCTGTCTCGCTTCCATTTCACATGATATAGCTCTCCTGGAGTAGAAAGGTACAACAGATTTTCCTGCTTTTACTTAATTCCTCATCTAGGTTCTTCTCACCTCTGTCCCAAAGCACTGCCACTCACCAGACTTCATATTCTTTGGGATACAACATAAGCATTCTCCACTACCCTGACCTGGTATTTCAGCCTGCTGTTTCACTGACCACGAATCTCACCTTGTTACACTTTCATCCACGTTTTCATTCCTCAAAAGTTCTTAAGTCGTGCCAACTTCACACTGGGAAATTCCTTTATTTCAAAAGGAGAGCAGTCCGTATGTGCAGACAAATTCATGTAGTTACCAATATACATACTCACACTTGTCACAACTCTGCCAAGAAGCACACATGGAAAATATGATAGGATTACCTGTGAGATTAGCTGCCATCTCTTCAGCAGTCTGACACAGCCTCAGCCCTTGTTTTAGGGGACCTTCTGAGTCCACATACTGACGGCGCTTGAGGTAGCAGGACACTGCCATCTGAATCTGTTCTGTGCGTACGCGTTTCATGACCTCAAAAGAAAAGAAAGAGACAACGAGGCTCTTACCATGTAGGTATACGCTAAGATCAACATACACCATAGCTGTATTAAAACTGATGGAAGACAAACAGCTCAGTAGTTTCATTGCTTAAGTCAAACAACTTCTTTACCGAAGTATGAAACAAAACCTGTAGGCATTTGCCTCTCAGTACTAAGGCATAACTAGGCACTTTGAAACAGATCCCTGAAGATATTTTGCTGCCTAATTCCACTAATTTCACTGAGGAATCAAAAATACTTTTGAGGATTCTGGAGTAAAACTGCAGTGGTGAGCTGAAGCATTTGTTTTTGATAACAATAACTCATAAAAAGGGAACGTTTCTCCTCCTTGCTTTTTTACAACAGCAGTTCGGGTATTCTTCAGCCATTTTCTGATTCCTCTGCTTGACCAACCAACAAAACAATTCCAGAAGAGTGAAGGGAATGAGAAATGAATATGCAAAGAAGGAAACCTCAGAATCATAACACTTTAAATAGCACACCTGTCTGGGGAGTCCAAGAAGCAATAGCTTATTGCTGGAACTTAAAGGTTAGAGCCGGACTTCTGGCACTTCAGTCAGGTAAGTTCCCAGAAAAAAACCCAGGGAAATTAAAACAAAAGCAGAGGCTTCAGCCTTTTCCACCTGCCCCATTTATCTAAACCTCCCTCCTATGAAAGCTTAAAAAAAAAAAATCCTTTGAAGTTTCCTTTATATAAATTTTGAAAGCCATCCTCACAAACACCACTTTTCCCCCTTGCAAGAACTGTATTTCCAACAAAATGGTAGCTTTAAAAATATGATCATAAATGAGCATTTTCTAATACCCATGCACACTTTAATGCTTATCCCAGTTGTTAGAACAAGCAACCCTCTGTGAAGTTCCAAACGGACGGGAAGCAAGGTTAAACACATACATGGAATGGCAAACCCGAAGTATAGCTTTGGCAAAAAAAAAAAATTCCATTTGTTCTCGCAGGCGAAACAACTGTTTGAGGGTGGGGAAGGGGGCATCAACAGGTGTGGAGTTTTCAAAGCATTTCCAGATAGACCCATTCAAATAATTACTTTCAACCACAACTTTTTCCGCTCCAAAAGCAAACTTCCTTTTCATCTTCCTTGCAATTAAAGAAATTATATCTGAGACTTACACTATCTCAAATACAACGCTTTTTCTGCTGCACAAATCTGTAGGAAGGACAGAATTCTAACAAAGGCCATGAAGAAGGGTGGACACAGGGACAGACCAGCATCTTAGCACTCTCCTAAAAACCACCCCTAAGCTTCGCAGCGTATTACATGATCATTCTGCATTTCAGCTAGCAGTATGGACTCACGCACAAGTGACTTGCCCAGGTCCACACTAAGGCCTCTGCATGCAGTCTGCCACACAGCTTAGGTTTGGGTAGCAACTTAATTATATTTGAGACGCTCTCTTAAGATGCTTACTTTGCGTCCAGAAATCATGTTGGAGAGTGTGCATTTAGATTGTTGCATTTGGTTTATAATCCAAAAGAAACTCACACCCAAAATGGCATGGAACAGATTCAACTACATGTTTCTGAAATGGTTTCAGCCAGTCAGAGCTGTGCAAATCGGCCTCAGGTCTGTGGTTCAATTGCAAAGAGAGAGCATCTAGAAATATCCTTGCCCATACTTTTTCACTTCAGTTACAGCATCAATTTGTGCTAGGTTAGATTTGGCGAGAAAACCCTTATTCATTATGGCGCAGCATGCACATACAGATAATTCCTCGTAAACTCGTAATGGATTGGAAAAAACGAAAACCAGTGTGTGAAAGATGCAGAACTCCAGAGGATCCTTTGAAGTGGCAGTGACAAACAAGAGAAGCACAGAGATCAGCCTTTTCAAGCTGCTGAACGAGCACATGACCAACAGAGAAAATGGTCACTTTTAAATGATAGACAAAAAAGCAGTAGGTCAACCAGTAGCCTCAAACTCTAACATCAGGATTGGACATTTTATCAGCAAGAGAGAAGGGGCTGGGCAAGGAGCAGTTGCTGGCAGCTGATTCATATCTGAGCTTTTTCACGGCTTTGGGGTAACAGGGAAGCCCCCGTTTCTTCAGCCAAGATGAGCTACGTGGAATTTGCAGCTGCTTTATGCAATCTGCAGTTTCTTGCTCCCTTCTCATACCTTGTATGCTTCGCCCAACAGTCACAGTAGTGGGGTGTTACGAGCAGTATCACAAGGAGATCT